TTCATGTTTTGATTTAGATCAATTACAAAGAAAGTTAAAGGTTTGGGAATTAAATGTGCATATGCATATGTAAAATTGATTAATATTTATTGTAACTGTTAAGAATTTGACTGAATTGTACACGTACATTCATTACTATTATTTTTTAGGACATCTGATTTGTACGGGCCAGGTGAAAAATATTTTTATTTGTTCGTAAAAATTTGATATTCGTTCGGACGAATGAGATATTTGTTCGGACGAGTTAAATATTTGTTTGGACGATTAAGTTATTCGTTCAGACAAATTAGAAATTCATTCAGACAAATTAATTATTTGTTCGGACAATTTAGAAATTCGTTCGGACGAATTAGTTATTTGTTCAGACGAATTAGTTATTTGTTCGGATGAATTAGATATTTGTTCGGACAAATTAGAAATTCGTTTAGACAAATTTAATTTTGTTCGGACAAATTAGATATTTGTTCGGACGAATTAGTTATTTGTTCGGATGAATTAGATATTCATTTGGACGAATTAGAAATTTGTTCGGACAAATAAATTATTTCTTCGGACAAATTAGACATTCGTTCGGACGAATTAATTATTTGTTCGGACGAATTAGATATTTGTTCGAACAAATAAGTTATTTGTTCGGACAAATAAAATATTTGTTCGGACGAATTAGATATTTGTTCAGACGAATTAGATATTTGTTCGGACAAATTAGAAATTCGTTCAGACAAGTTAGAAATTGTTCGGACAAATTAGTTATTTGTACGGACGAAAAAGATATATGTACGGACGAATTAGTTATTTGTTCGGACAAATTAGTGAAAATGTGAACAACTGTCAGGACACCGCGATTAATTTGTGATTTACACCAAGACGTTTCATTTTATTTTGATTCTTTGCAAAATAACTTTAATGAACAAGTTTTCATTAAATATTTTGAATTTTAAGATAAGTCGTTTTAATATTGATCTCTTTCGTAATTTTTTTATGTACAAATTCACTACCATTTATTAATCATTACATGTGCATGATTTTTGAAATACATTTCTGATACATATGTCGCCGATTTGTATCTGAAATATTGCTGATTCGGCGTAAAACATTCAATGAATAAATCTGGTATATATGCGGTGTATAAAATATACCTGATTGTGAATTAAGGTATACCTTTACTCAGATAACCGAAAATTCCACTGATAAGAACGAAAAACTACCTATTGCACATTGTACACATATGATTCTTGTGTTAAATATCAATTTCAAATAACTAGATCAATGACCTACTTTTCATGCTAGTGACCCCTGAGTATTTCTCGGGAAATACCTCAATTTTTCACACTATGATCAATTTTTTTCTATATAAACAAAATATTACAAGCAACTAAACTCTTTGAATAATGAAAAATAATAGCAATGGAACAGCGTTGCTTCATATAAAGAAATGTATGGAGTTTGGGCCATAAATGTGATAATTATTACTGTCCGAATTTCCTCTGTCATATTTATATTTTTTCACCATTTTTAATCGAGTATTACAAAAGTCTGACTGTGCCCTTAATCTTATGGTACTAATATTATATGGGGTCAATGATCAAATTATTGAGATATGCTGTCTGGAATGGTTTTTGTACATATTTTTGAATTTCTTCATGTCATAGTATTCAATTATTTGAAATAATTTATGAGCTTTAACATAGACAATATTTGCAAAATGATGTTTAGTAATACATGTAACCTTTACTTTGTGATTAATATTGCAAGAAATAAAATTTTTTGACAAAAATGAAAAATTAAAAATTTTGTCTGAATTTCCTCTACATTACTGTACATTGACATTTGTGCCTGTACATTTTCTTTAATTACTAAAATATTAATTTTTTAAATTGATTTTTATTTAAAACTTGCTTATTTTATCCTTTTAGAACAATTTTTGACTTAACATATTATATTTTATATATTTCCTTTTCGTTTTCTGAAATCTGAGTAAAGGTCGTCCTTAAGAAACAATCACAAAAATGAACCTGTTCGTATTGATCCCAGATTGTTCCTATGACTCGCGAGCCTGTAAATTACGATGTCAACCGGTCAATCTGGTATATTCCCTAGTCAATTCAATTGATTTACAGAGCATAATTTTAGCCCCCTCCCCTTATTGGAGAGGTACATGTAGTCAAACAAACTATTTAATTTCACTTTCAGCATTTCTTAATTTTGTTTATACGCTTTTACAATTGAGTACCAGTTCGAATGTTTGTTAGGCAAATGACTCACTAGAAAGGGGACATTGTGAAACCAACTCCTTTTATGGGGAAAATAAATCATGAATGAATGAATGAATGTCAAAATATTTTCAAGTAACCCCCCCCCCCCCCCCACCTATTTAAAAAAGGTCGGTTGTCTTAATCATTGAGAAGCTTAACTTGCATTAAATTATGGTGTTTTAAAATTTTACAGCACTTTCTAGGAACGTACATGTATTCTTCTATTTTTTATCCTTTTTTCGTTTAATTTGGTCAATATTATACTTGCATGTTTTAGATATTTATAACATAACTTCATGCATTTTAATGTTATTTAAATATACCATAAAAATTCGTGTGGGTCAATGTTCGTGGGTAGCCAAAATTTCCTGGTTCGTGGGGACGTTATTACATTGGTAACAAATTCTATTTCTTTTTTTTCCTCCAAAGTTAAAACAAAGAAGGATAACTCCGTCAATGTTGCTTATTTAAGTTATCTACCTTGTGAAAACAAATTAAAATGGATCGGCGGCTTGCACTGACAAATTACAGCCGTGATGTCGCAGTAAAATATGATTATAAAGATCACAATTGGTACACAGAACCTGTTTTTAAATCTCTAAATGAGAACAACTATGGGCGGCGGAAAGGGTAAAAAAGACGTTAATGCAAAACTAACAACTGATTTTATAAACATAATGAAATACAAAACAGACAACCTTAAAAACAAAATCAACAGACTCGTTTGCAAAATCAACAGACTCCGATGCGAAACCAACGATCACCAATGCAAAACCAACGATTACTTACTGAATTGTCGCTAGATGGCGTGCAAAAAACATACTTTTGTACCCTTTCCGCCGCCCATAAACAACGACGACCATGACAACAATGTCAAAATTGACTTTAAAACGTCTATCAGGAAACCATAATTGGCTACTTAGCACCCGCTCCGAAATCGCACTGAAAAGTGTCCTCATCAAAGGGGCATGTGAGCGTATTGGACTATTATGTAGACACTTTTTAAATTTAATAGTTGCAATTATTATAATTGTATTACTTATTGTTTATGGTTATCGATGTCTTTGATACTTAATATTTTGTTGGTTTTTTTTTTTTTTTTTGGGGGGGGGGTTGTGTCAATAACCACGTACATATTTTCGTCTTTATGCGCAATCACACGCACGAACAATGATGATTCCACAATAGATACTTAATAGTTTAGATAGTTTTTAACGATATTAGAAAGAATCCATTGGAGATGGATTTATGAGATTCCCTCTTTTTGTTCCTTTATTACAAAATACTTAAATGTGGGAACAGCAGTATAAAAGCAAAACTACAATTGTCCTAGCTAGTAAGCCCCACCTTAAAAAAAAATTAAGACCTATCGAAAAAGAGGCTCGATATTTTGAGTCCGAAGTTTATTTGATATAATACAGTGCATCCACGTAGCATCGCTTTTGAAAGTCCTCCTAAATAGACAGATTGTATATCTCTCTATACAAGATAATTTGTGCAAACATCTAATTTGTCCGAACAAATATCTAATCCGTCCGAACAAATAACTAATTCGCCCGAAGGAATTTCTGATTCGTCCGAACTTATTCGTTCATACGAATATTTTATTCGTTCTTACGAATATTCTATTTGTTGGAACAAATAACTAATTCGTCCGAACGTTTATCTAATTTGTCCGATAAAATAATTGTCCGAACGAATTTTCAATTCATCCGAACGAAAATTTTATTCGTCCGAACAAATAACTAATTCGTCCGAACGAATTTTTAATTTATGTCCGAACAAATAACTTAGTTTTCCGAACAACTAACTCGTCCGAACGAATGTTTTATTCGTCCGAACAAATAACTTATTCGTCTGAACGAATTTCTAATTTGTCCGAACAAATAAAAAAAATTTACTTGGCCTTCCAACGGCGCCGTAGATTTGAGAGCGTAAATTCTCACTGTCGTTATTTACCGATTATAACATTTGAACAGAGTATTCTAAGTACTTATGTTACACTTAAAATTGATTTAATGTCTGTATTTCATTTGCAAAATAAACAATTTTTTTTCTTTTTTCTCGTTCCTCTATTTTATTTTTTTTTCTTATTTCATTTAATTGTGTAGCCATTTTAACAGAAGAACTTCACAAAATAATTTGACTTTTAATTTGATAAAAAATGCAATCATGTTTTCAACATCGTTAATGAAGAGCAGATAATTTTTACCTTTATTCAAAGAAGATTTATTTCCATCCATATTTTTAAATTGCTGCAGACAGGTAATGCTACTAATAAAGAACGCTAAAACACAATATATTATATAACACGGTGTCTGATCATTGGACAAACTTAGGACCAATCAGAATTACCGACAATCTTTGTATTCTAAAACTTTTTATTCTTTTCAACAGGGTCATTATAGAATGCAGTGTGATAAAATTTGTTTATCTAAGGAATGACTCATACGTAAGCGAATTTAAAATCTCTGACAGCAAAAGTACTTTATTACACGGGTCTTTCTTGAAAAATAATGGAGTGTCGATTTTGCAATCCGACAGTGAAAAAACTTTCACGTGAGTTTCCTCCATTTCCAATTTCTGCCAGTTGCAAACATGTAACAGATATATGTATACAGGCAAGTACTTTCTTGTTTGATAATATTTACATTACACATTAGTCAGATATTCATAAGGCATATTCAAAGAAAATCATAATAAAAAATAATTTCATTTGTATTTTCAGTGTGTGATAAAGCATGTTGAGAAAAACCGTGTTTGTCCATATCCTGACTGCCTCACGGAAATACATCCTGATTCTCAAAATATTTTGATAATAAAGCAGATTTCTGAAAATCTTTTCACAGAATATGAGACGTTTTACACAGCAGAAACTCCTGTGCAAACAGCAAAGGGTTATATTTATGTGTCAACTCTAATAGGGAACAGGAAATTATTCATGTTTAGAGAAAACAAGGAAATTTTTGAACTGAAACACGAAATTCAAGAGGCTTTCTCTGTTGAAATCAAGCTTCAGAAACTTTTCCATAAAGGGCAGTGCTTAAACGTAAGTATTAAATTGTTTTAAAAATTTTATGAAAAGCTGCGATATTTTTCTTCGATAAAGTTGCAATATAATATTTTCAGAACACGGATTCTAAAGGGGTACGGTGCATTTTGGCAGACTACAATGTGTGCGCTGGTGATCAAATCTATTTAATTAAATTATTGTGTGAGTTACCCTCCAAGATACTTAAGATAACGCTTGATGTTGATTGGGGCTATCCACAATCACAAGAAAAATGGTTATTTGGGCTAATTACATGGACAAGACATCACCGAGATTACTTAGATGCATCCTGCTTTGCATTTGAGGACAATTCTGATGAATATTTCGTTGTTAACATACAAAATAAAGAACAGCCTGGAATAAAACATCAATCGGAATTTTTAGACAGAAAACGAAAGAGGGGACATCATAAAATGTCAGTTTCATTACAAGATTTGAAGGATACAGTTACCCATTTATTTTTCACGCTTAGTGCAAGAGGAGAAGGCCGGACTGTTGATCATTATATTGCACCAGAGCTGAACATTTATGAATCTGATAGCACTAATTCTGAAAACTTATGTGAAACATCATTAGCTGGTTGCAGTGACCAGTCAGTAATCATCTGTAGCGTATATCGCTCTGAAGATTCTGTTTGGCGAATTTCTGATGTCAGAAAGTCCTGCAAAGGAAATATTAATGACACTTCTCATCTCGTATCGGAAATGAAACTTCTTAAAAATAAAATAAAATAATTAGACAGAGTTCAAAATATTGATGTATATAACACTTAACATGCAATGAAAATGCGCCTTTTCATTAATCAAGAGAAAATGCAATTAGCCTACATGTAAATTCTTGCAGACGTCAAGATAGATATTAATGACGAAATCGTTCGGAGAAAGTTCCCCCGGTGTAAGAAAATAAAATTTTGTATTAAGTGTTCTTGTTTTCATTTATTTAAGCGTACAAATATATTTAGATTGATTGTATATATTGTTTAACTCCCATTCGAGAATTTTTCACTCATATAGAGACGTTACTGTATGCAGGTAAAGGGCTTCAAAGAATGTTTCCACTTAAGCATAGCTGCCCTGGCCCTTTTCCCGGACCCCTCTAACTTTACCTAATTAACTCAAACCTTAATTATTCACACTTAACCAATATTTTGTTTTCGGTGTGATAGATAACTTGCAAAAATTTTCATTGAAAATGGCGCTTTAGTTTTATTTAATGTAATTTTAAAAGCCGTCTAGTGGTTGTAAATTCCGGAATGTTGCGCTTGTCCGAGTTAAGTTTTGATTGTGACACATTTATATTCGGAGTAGGTGGGGCACTATATATCGATCGATTGAAAACACATGTAATATCCAGTTATAATGGTTCTGGGATAAAATACAAAATATACAGAGAAGTAAACAATATTCATAAAGAACTTCTCCATAATCATGTCATTTTTTTTGTTTTTTTTTTTTAAATAGGGGTGCTGGGGAGGATCTTTGAGATGTACATGTACTCCCGACTTCAATCCATACCCCATCCCCCATTTTGGTTGTTTCTAGGAGAAAATTTAACACTTTTTTTAACTTTTATTACACAGTTCCATTTTACCTATTTACAAATGCCAGTTAACCCGGGTATTTATTATAACCAACATAAAAACAACAAAGAAAAAGAAAATTACAAAATAAGTCATTATAACAAATTTGTTAGAAGTTTGAATAGGTCTTTAAACATACAAGTTTTTGACAAAATTTAACATGAAATTTATATCTTTTTCTAATGAATATCTAATGCTTTCTTCTAACATGAACTTCTCTTGTATATTTTCTATTCTGCTTTTCATTTTAAATTTATATATTTTATATGCCAAATATGATATTATAGTGAATCCTACAACAATATGTTTCCATTGCACATCATAGTTCATAACAATATTCAACTTTTGCCATACACTTTTTACATTATCACAATCAAAAATTAGATGTTTTATATTTTCATTTCCACAAAATTCACATTTTGCATTTTCCCTTAATTTACATTTTTGTAAAAAAGAATTACAACATAAAATATCATTCAACAAATTTATAATTAAATTCACTTAGACGTTTATCATACATGAGTTTGATTTTATTTCTATAAATGTTACAACAGTATTCTTTACTCACACAGAAGTTTCGACCTAATATTGATTGATAACATGGATATTTAAACTTTTTAGACAGCATATTCTCATAGAAAAACTTACATTTTTTTATCTGTAATACAATTAAAACCACTGTTAAAATTGAAAGAATTTACAGAAGTTGTCTTGGTAAAAATACAACACTTCATATCAAACATGTTACTCTGTTTCGTTACTACTTTTTTTAGAATCTTGTACTCACACAACCAGTTAGATTTATTTATCAAAGTATTTAAAATTTCTTGTAATGTTTTAAAGTTACCATTTTCATCAAAGAGATCTTTCGTATAAAAAATATAACTTGCAATCCAATTTTTAAAACATATTGTTGTACCTTTCAATTGGTATAAATTGTTATTCCAAAGTGGTTGTTGCGCAAATTTGAATTTGATAAATTTGATATTTCTATTTCCTTTTTACATTCATTGAAATAACAGAATATTTCTGTATAAAAAGTAGACAGGTGAGAAATAAGTGAAAAGTTTTCGAGTTTTCTTTCAGACAATGTAAGTAAATAATTAATGTCTCTATTCATTTCATTCAGGTATCCATTTATGACTTTATTCAGTATACAAGATTCATCACTAAGTCTTGTTACCCAAGATGCCTTAAAGGCCTTTAATTTTAGTTCAGTATCAACTAATCCTATTCCCCCTTCTTCTTGTTTGCCTATAACAGTGTCTCGCTTAATTCTATCTCGTTTGATCCATATAAAATTGAATACACTACTGTTTAATATTTTATCAACTCGTAGTCTGGAATTGGTAATATGGAGCCAACATATATTAATTTTGATAAAGCTAAAGAATTAACTACACAAGACGTTCCAAAAATTGTTAATTCTCTTGTTTCCATGATTCAAACAGTTTTTCCATATCTTCATAAATTTTAATCCAATTCAAGTTGTAGTATTGGTCTTTGTTATGACCAATAAAAATACCTAAGCAGCGAACAGCATCATTAGTTACATTTATACCACACACATTTGAGTGCCTATCCTTGAGACTACCTAAAAGTATACATTGTGTTTTATTCAGATTAATTTTTGATCCAGCATGGTTGCAGAAAGTTTGAACACTTTCAATTGCTGTTTCTAATGAGGATATATCTTTTAAAGCTAAAGTTTTGTCATCCGCATGTTGTAGATTTTTTATTTCTGGAGAAGTTGCATTTAGTTTAATACCTTTGATATGTTCATTACTTTTTATTTTTTAGCTAATATTTCTGCGAAAAATAAAAATAGCAAATCTGAAATGGGACACCTTTGTCTTATGCCTCTAGACATAGAACACGTTTTGGAAATCAAACCATTATTTTTTTACTTTAAAAATTGGGTTGGTGTATAAAATTTTTATCCATCTGATAAAGTTTTCCCCAAAGTTAAATTTTTCTAGTACTTTAAATGAAAAATTCCATTCTATCGAATCAAAAGCTTTTTCAAAATCTATAAATAACAAAAGTCCTTCACTATTATTTTCCATACAATGTTCATAAATATCTAAAACAGTTCTAGCATTAATTCCGATATAACGTCCTTTAATATATGCTGATTGTTCATTACTTATTAATTGATCTATTGAACACTTAAATAACACTGGCAAAATATTTATTACCATTGTCTTCTACGATAATTTATCTACACAACCATATATGGCTTGAATGTCTTTGTTTTCATTTTTCTCCGTAAACAGCGTCAAAACTCTGCCCACCGAGTGGAAAAGTCGACTCAACCATGGAACAGTATGTACTGATCCCGCACAGAGATTTTTATTGGTTGGATTCATAAGGATACTTAAGATTTATGCTTAGATACACACTAAAGTATAAATAAATTCTTAGTTAAGAAAAAAATCCTAAGTCATATTCATATAAAATCTAAATTTCTTAATAAAAGATGAAAAGGATGAGCTGACTTGCGGCCCCCGGTAAAACGACAAAAAATTAAATGTCCGAATTTTACTCAAATTTTTGTATTTAAGTAATCACTGATATGTATACCTATATGAAATAACATTTTTAACAAAAATAGAAACGTGATTTGAAAGATATATATCTTTTATTTGAGTAGGGGTATCATGTTTACATCCAATTCCCATTGAATTTTGACACCGCCCCACTCTTTGAAGTCCTTAAAATATACGAGCGCAGGTAGGTACAACTTTCTCCTTTGACTGGTCACTGTATTTTATTGAAATCTGCCTATATGTTAGAGGGGAAAATTGTACCTAACTGCGCTCACGTGCTATTTTTAAAAAAAATGTAAAATCTAGCTGGCCTTTTCCATTAAAAACAGATCGACGGAACAAGATTTTCTGACGTAAGAATAAATTCATATGCTAATCGAGACACTGGCGATACTTTCTAACTGACCAATCAGCTAAATGAAGTTCGTTACGAGTGAGTACCACAAAAATACTATGGAAACATGCTTGTAGTGAGCAATTCGCTAGGTCTACACATATTCCCGAGTATCAGTGAATACAAGTTTCATGTGCATTTCTTGTCCTAAAAACCGTAAATGCTGAAAATCCATGCGTATTTTTAAGAATAAACAGCCTTGGCTGACCATTATAAACGTTTGAAATGTAGAAAACTATAAAGGTAAATTGACCTAAACCACATATCTGTGATAAAATGCAACCGTAGCAAACTAGCATGTTTTGTTGTTCTGTCATCGGATTGGACAATGATTATGTGCGAAATAATAACAATAGCCATATAAGGTCTTCTCGGACACGCATATCCCTCTATTGTACCAAGACCCGCCCATTCTCTTGCCATAAAAGAACATATCTCACAAACCTGGCCGAATTTTGCTGTGATGGGGTCTACAAAAACAAAGATAATGCAGTATTCCTTATAATTAAAATGTGTCTGAACTATTGAAACTATTCAAAAGGCGTTGTATTTATTCACTTATGTTTGAAAACTACAAACATCGTTGTAGATTAGATCTAATTCATTGTGGAAAAGGGGGCCCCAGATAGCAGTTATGTCACATCATCCTTTCTTCTGTTTATCATTATTTTTACATTGATAAAGAAAACTTAAGTAATTCTTATCTACTTAAGACACCTCCTGAGGACACGTATAACTTTAAGCCAATACTTAAGCACTAAGTATGTTTATGAATTACACTTAAGTATTTCTACGGTACCAAATTTAAGCAGTTAAGTAAGTTAAGTAAAAAAATGACTTAAGTGATTTTGCAAACTTAAGAATATACTAAGAAGTTTTATGAATTCTGCCCCAGGGCTAAAAATCTGCTTCAGGCATGCTAGATATGGTTGTTTAGATAAATTATCGTTGAAGACATAGGTACATCTATAAACAGTTTACCCGTGCATTTCCTCTGAAGGTGTAAATGAGCGCGATTTTAAGGAGGGGGTACTCCGTGTAATTCTGAGTTCGATACCTTGTTTTATTAATATACCTAAGGTCAAAAATTTATTACAGAAACAAGTGCCTGTGGTAAATACCCGTAAATAGCGAAGAAAACGGTTGGCGTTTCGTACATTTTTTCAAAAAGTTTACCCCGAGCATAGGCTTGCCCAAATTTCTCTCTTAAATATGTTGTACTTCCAACACTTCTACACCTTCTGTCCTTTTGAGAAATTTGGACAAGAATGCGCTCACCATGTATTCCAGCTTTAAAGATCGGAATATATTTGAATAACAATGGAAATTCATGAACTGCAGTGACCCTCCTTACAAAACACAGCCTCGTTTTTTGTTTTTTTTTTTTTACTTATTTTTAATTGCTGTAATTTTGCAAA